CAGTGACCCCAGTGATGTCCCCAGTGTCCCCAGTGTCCCCAGTAGTGTCCCCAGTGTCCCCAGTGATGTCCCCAGTAGTGTCCCCAGTGTCCCCTGTGATGTCCCCCCAGGTTTCAGTGCCCGCTGGTTGCCCCCCGGGTCCGTCCCCCCGGACACTGACCCCTCGGCGCTGGCCCAAGTGGCCACCGGGCTCTGCTTCGCGGGGCTCGTGTCCCTCATCGACCCCCCCAGAGCCACCGTCCCCCAGGCCGTGCGCAAGTGCCGGACAGCCGGGATCCGGGTGAGGACACTGGGGACACTGGGGACATCACTGGGGACATCACTGGGGACATTGGGGACATTGGGGACATTGGGGACATTGGGGACATTGGGGACACTGGGGACATTGGGGACACTGGGGACACTGGGGATCCAGGTGAGGACGGATGGACAGACTGACACCATTGGGGACATTTGGGGGGTGAGCCCACAGGTGGGACAGGTGAGGCAGGTGTTCCCCAGGTGTGTCTCAGGTGTTCCCCAGGTGTCCCCAGGTGTCCCCACAGGTGATCAGGGTGACAGGTGACCCCCCCAGGTGTCCCCACAGGTGATCATGGTGACCCCAGGTGACCCCAGGTGTCCCCACAGGTGATCATGGTGACAGGTGACCCCCCCAGGTGACTCAGGTGTCCCCACAGGTGATCATGGTGACAGGTGACCACCCCAGGTGACTCAGGTGTCCCCACAGGTGATCATGGTGACAGGTGACCACCCCAGGTGACTCAGGTGTCCCCACAGGTGATCATGGTGACAGGTGACCACCCCAGGTGACTCAGGTGTCCCCACAGGTGATCATGGTGACCCCAGGTGACTCAGGTGTCCCCACAGGTGATCATGGTGACAGGTGACCACCCCATCACGGCCAAGGCCATCGCGGCCTCGGTGGGAATCATCTCCGAGGGCAGCGAGACCCCCGAGGACGTCGCCGCGCGCCTGCGCCTGCCCCTCGAGCAGGTGGACCCCAGGTGAGGCCCCGGGCGTGGCCCAGGTGTGCCCAGGTGTGTCCAGGTGTCACCAAGGGTCTCTCAGGTGTCCCCAGGTGGGCGAGGGTGTCCCCAGATGTGTCCCAAGTGTGTCCAGGTGTGCTCAGGTGTGTTCAGGTGTACCCAGGTGTCCCCAGCTGTACTCAGGTGCTCTCAGGTGCATTCAGGTATGTCCCAGGTGTGTCCAGGTGTCCCCAGGTGTGTCCCAGTTGTCCCCAGGTGTGTCCAGGTGTAGTCCAGATGTCCCCAGGTGTGCTCAGGTGCACTCAGGTGTGTCCCCAGGTGTGTCCAGGTGTATCCAGGTGTGTCCAGGTGTCCCCAGGTGTATCTAGGTGTTCTCAGGTGTGCTCAGGTGTGCTCAGGTGCGCTCAGGTGTGTCCAGGTGTATCCAGGTGTGTCCAGGTGTGTACAGGTGTGTCCAGGTGTCCCCAGGTGCACTCAGGTGCGCTCAGGTGTGTCCCCAGGTGTATCCAGGTGTGTCCAGGTGTATCTAGGTGTGCCCAGGTGCGCTCAGGTGTGTCCCCAGGTGTCCCCAGGTGTGTCCAGGTGTCCCCAGGTGCGCTCAGGTGTGTCCCCTCTCAGGCAGGCGCGGGCCCGGGTGGTGACGGGGACCGAGCTGGCCTCGATGGCCCCGGGGACGTTGGAGGAGCTGCTCCGCACCCACCCCGAGATGGTTTTCGCTCGGACGTCGCCGCAGCAGAAATTGGTGATCGTGGAGAGCTGCCAGCGCCTGGTGGGGACACCTGGGGGGGCTGGGGACACCTGGGGGGGCTGGGGACAGCGGGGGAGGGGTTTGGGGACACCGGGGGGGGCGGGGGAGAGGGGGGGGGGGGGTGGGCGCG